TTGGCGGGCACACCCCAAGAAAGGAGAGAAGGGGGGCTCCCAGGCAGGAGTCTTGCATCTCCAGGTATCTCTTAACATCATCTTGTCCCACACGTTTGGCTCAGTCTGCTACATCTGACGCTAACAGGGAGCCCTGGCTCCTCCCTTCAGTCATGGTGGTGCAATTTGGGGGAAATAGGCGCAAGTGTAAGCTCCTCATGTCAGCTCTTTGGCAAGTAAAAGAGACAGCCACAATTTGCCCTAAAAGGCAAGTTCTAATTCTTAACATTGTACGTCATGGTTTTTATGCGCAGTGCAATTTACAGGCCAGACAAGCGAGGCCAGCGGAGCCCAGGCTGCGGCCAACCCGGCAGTGAGTCCATCAGCCATGGAAATGCCGAAGTGACAGCTTCGCTTCGTTAACTAGAGGCCCAGCGTTCCCTGGGCACGCGTAAGCAACTGGAAGAGAAAAGGCTGTTCCAGGGGTGGGAGATGACGGGCGCCTAGTGAACGCTTCGGGATGGAGGGCAAAAACAACGCCTACCCCGGTGCTTGAGAGACCAGACAGGCTTCGATCCCAAGGTCACACATGCATCCTTCCATCAACACGAATGGTGGCCTTCGCAGGAGCACACCACCTCCTTTGCTTTTCTCCCAAGCAGAGCGTGTCATGCCCAGGTGGAGAAATGCCCGTTTTCCTCTCCCTGAACCAGCTGTACCCCGAGCCGGAGGCTCTGCAGAAAGCTACTGACATCTCAGCAAAAAGTCCTAGACTCTCTCCCTAGGATTTCTGTCAGGCTTATTTCTCCTCCCCTGCTCCCAACTGTTTTTTTCCAAAACCCTTTCCTGCATTTTTCCCTTTTATCACTGCCCTGTGAACATCCTTCTGGGTAGCTCACCAGCCCTCTCCATTGGATTCCCGCTAGCTCTTGCCCACACTCCACATGACAAGATTTTTACTTTGAAGCAGATGTAAATTTTTTTTTTTTTGCCCAGCCTTAGGTGAGACCACAAGGGCTTTCAGTCCCTCTGCCTCCTCATTCTGAAAATACTCCCCAAGGTAAACAAGTCCTAAGCCTAAGGCGATGCACTGGAGTGCCAGGAAAGCCCTCGCTTGTTGAAGCTGTTTGGAAATCACCATTTTCTGATGCTGTAAAACAAGAGTTAATCCATGTTTCCACTGTGGAGGGCTGTTTGGGTTTTTTTTTTTAAAGAAGGGAAAAAAAATTCCTTTCATTCTTTGCCAGCAATTTCCATGGAAATAAAAGTTTCCAGCAAAAACTCCGTGCCCCAACGAGAATATTTTATCCAGAAAGTGAGAGATTTTCTCTGAACAATTGCAAGATTTCATCCAAAAGTCTGAGAGGCTTCATCCGAAATCTTTCGCTCCTTGGCTGGGAACAAAGCACCGCCGAGCGAGAGGGGACCAAGCACCCCCTGCGAGTCCCCCCGGCCCCCGGGCAGGCCCAGCGCGGCGGGCTCGGCCCGCGGGGACGCTCCCG